TTGCTAGCAGAATTCTCTCCATTTAAATCACAGTAAGCTTGAAGATAACTCTTCTGTTACATGCCTGAAAACATACCTTAGGGAGCGAAAAACGCAAATCTTAAATGAAAAGCATGCATTACAATCTATTTCTCGTGTTCCATTTTTTATATTATAAAATTCTAAGTTTGATACTACATTATGACACTGTTAAACAGAAATAACTTCGTAAGGTCATTACAATTTTTCCTACTACTATTTTTCTGCAGTTTGTTCATATTATGATTTTAAATAAATAAATGTCAACACAGTTTAGCATGAAACTAAGCACCAGACCAGATTTCTGCCTCAAGGCAGAAATCACATTTTTCTGACTGATTCTAAAAATCTAGCCTTATGTGAATTCATACCTCATGAAATTCTAGCTTTTTTTTCCCCCTCCCCATATTTTGCAGTTAAAATCATACATGCTTATTTTGCATAAGTTCTTCTACTACCTGAGGCTATAACCAGTCTGCATACCTACTACTGCATGTGCTACAGAATTTGGTTTGTCAAAATGGCAGACGTGTGGACTTTTGCTGTCACATTTCATAGTGTATCTAATAACGATTAATGATGTTTTCTTCACTACCAGGCCATTAGCAAGCTATAATGAATGCTATTGGTCTCCTTATTTTGTTCCTTGCATTCCCTAACACATTTTTGTTCCCTTTTTCTGGCAAATACTGATGGAAACCAAGCAGATAAATTCTCCGTATCCAAAGGACCTTGTTTTTCTATTATTCTTACCAAATACTGCCTGTGACACCACCAGCATGTAGCACCTACACTGAATACATACCTTGCATTCAGTAGAGAGGACTTCCTTCAACTTAACTAATATTCAATTCAGGAATCCACAACTAAAGCACATTCGAGCTCAAGCAGCAGCAGCAGGGTAACTCCCACTATGATGGAAAGATTGATAAATCATCAGTAAAACACCGCTGCAGCACACACAAGTCAGAAACTCCCAGCACTCTCACAGTCCCTTAGGAGACTATATATACTGGGACTGGATGCCTTTGTTATTTTAAGCCCACTTCTCCATTCAAGTTTTCTTCTCCAGTTTGGATTACTGCTACAATATTCACCACATGCTGAACAGTCACACTATGAGAATCCCATTCTTCAAGCAGTCCCTGCTTTACATGTCATAACTTTTTATATATGCTATCTGAATGCTGTTTTTTTCCTCAGTGCTGTAAACAACCACTAGATTTTGCTCATCTGAAGATCATCAGATGCCTGAACAGACATTCTGACTGAAAGAATTTAAATCAGCTTCCTGATATTACAGCAAGCATTGAATTCTCCACTGAATTTAAATCTCATTTTAGGAAAGCACATTCAGCAGATAAGAGCTTATGAAGACAGTTTTAGCAGTAGTTATCTCAAAAAAACAAGCTAAAACATACAGGCAAATCTAGAATACTTTGCGCATCAAGAAAGTTAAAGTGAAACACAAAATATTTCCTTACACAGCAGAATATCTAATCCACTTATGGAGAGAGAAAAACAAAGTGCTAATGTGGCCTGTCTGAAAAGTAAAAAAGTCACAAGTTTGTAATGGCTGAAATTAAACCATGAGTAACACCATGATGCTCGACATAGTTTAGATTAATTTATTATCAGATTTATGTAGTATAGGTATATTTTTATTTGTAATGACTAGTAGCACACTCATATTAGCAAGTGGCAGGGCAAAAGGTCAATTTCTGGACAGTCTTCTATTTTAATGAGGTTTTGGTTTGTTTTGCCATTCCGCAGTCTCAACTACAACTGTTATCTAAAAACCACCCTGAATTTTTGCTTCTGTACCATTTTGCAACAATTTTCTACAGAAAACTTTACTCCTGAGAACACGCTGAAAATGTTCTTTGCAAATTGGTAGGCTAAGTGCATATATTTCATATCAAATCTTTCATATCTATTAGAAAAAACAGTTAAAACAAACCTACAAGGTAGAGTATCAGTCTGCAATGTTATGTCGTGAAATCTTTAATTGTGCAAGGAAATCTATGCTGCATAATAGACCAAAGACGACTGATCATCATACCAAAATGAATGTGAATACATATTAATCACTTCCAAATTATGCAGTGTTTAAATGTTTGTAAATAGATTCCTTTATGTAACTTGATTTTTTGAGTACTTACTGGAGTCCTATAGGCAGACACTGAGCACCGTGTTTAAACACTGGAAGGCTGGTGATAAGCTTTAATAAAAGTACAATCATACTAAAAGAGAAAGTCCCAAGTTTTATTAGGATTTCAACAGACATTGCAAAAAAATATTGCATAATGATTGAAAACATAGTATTTTAAACAAAGTAGCAATGTGGTATCAAGTAAAAGAAAGACTGGAACAGCTGTCTATATATGCTGTAAGGAAGATGTACCAGGAAAGGGATATGACATTTTTAAAATTCAAGGGCAAATGTGAACAAGCCACATTTTGATAGATTGACTGTACACCATAGATGTTTTACAAACTGCATAGCAGTGTAAAAAAAAAAGGTTTTTATCCTAACTATATCGTATTCCTGCATTTGGAGCAGTTTACAAGGCAGAGATTTTGTTTACAACATTGATATTTTAATAGCTCTGGATTCTCATAAAAAATAAATGAATTTAAAAAAAAAGCCTGTATCTACATTTGAAAACAAAAGTGCATGTATTGAGAAATAGTGTTATTTCTTAAGAAGAACACCAAGTACTTAAAAAGTTCATTTTAATAGATCAACAACTGATGATACTTTAGATGTAGATCTGCACTGTGCTACAAGCGAGATTCTACCAACACCAGCTCCTCTAACTGGACACCCTCTTTTCCTCAGCAACCAAGACACATGCCTGCCTACCATACTTATCAGGGTTCCGGGTAGTTACAAAGAATGCTGAGTACCAAAACCACCACCTTGCTGACTAAAAAACACCAGTAACCCAAGACAGATGTTTTAAAGTAGATTTAACCATAAATGCAAGCATAAACTCCTCAACATTCAGGATTCTTTTCAGTCATAAAACTACTTTTAAACACTGGAGAGCAGCAGCAAGCAGCCATTAGAGCTAAAAGACAAGAACTGATGAAAGTCTGTCTCCTGCCTCATACTGAAGAATTTGTGGGTAATAAGCATTTCAATGCACTCAAGAGAACTGTGTGTGTGTGTGTTTGTGTGCGTGTGTGTTAAAATCCCTACCTAAAACCCAGTCGGTATAGTCAGATTTGTACTTGAATCTGGATTCTCCTTTCCACATAACTGTGCTAACAGCTAAGAATTACTGCAAATCAAACTTCTGTAAAGGGTCTATTCCTTTCCTGTCTGCAAACAAAATAAGAGAAAGTGTGGAAAGAGAAAATGTAATTTGAAGATCCAGGCAGAACTGTTTGAGCTCTTGTAATTTAAACTCATGGCACTGAAGACCTAGATTTAATTTTTTTCTGGGCACCTGTAGCACTCTGGATAGAAAAAGGCAGTGAACGTTTAGCTGGACTGGACCCAGAATGGGAAATGCACAGATACCAAAGTTGTGAACTGCAGCCAGACTAGCCATAAACAAGTGTCCAGTACAGAAATTACGAGTAATAAATTTAGCCATTTTTGTAAACATCTCCTACTTACTAATCTCTTATTTTTTCCTATAATGGAAATACATACTGTATTTCTTTGTTCCAAGCTCTGGTTTGTTTCTGTTTTAGCTTTGTGGCACAGTTGCTAAGTGCAACAGGCTAGAGACACCAGCATTAATACAAACAAACTGGAAAGTCAGTTCAAGTTATTATAGTTTTGCTATACCAGGCCATTTTTCATAGCATGTATTCTCTGTTCACAAATGCTTTGTAAGATCTTTTATTATGGAAGACTGGAAGCAAATTGGAGTTGTTAATTTAACAGATGTGGTTGAACATACATTTCTGATATGCCTTATGCAATTAACAAATCATGTCTCATCTTATGAAGATGATACATTTGCTATACATACCAGTAATTTAAAATGCTCCTCAAAAAAGCAGCATTTTTATAGACAAATTAACAGAAAAGGAGACAATACTTCTCACAATACCATAAAACAAGTAAAGCCCTTTCATTAGCTGCATTATAAATTTGTAACTGTTCATCACATACTTTGAATTTCTGACTGCTCAAGCAATTTAATCGTCAGCCAACTGCAGGACAAGGAAAAACATTTTAAACATTTTATATCAATGTCATTGTAGGTGCGAGAGTAAAAACTAGTATTCCATGTTTTTAGCTCTAAAAGTTTTGCTCCCAAAAGTGAAATAACTGTTAATAGTTCAGAAGAAAAATAATCATTGTTACCATGTCAAAAGGAAGTTGTACTAAAAATTAAGCTGCTGTAAATCTGAGTTCACTTCGATCATTCCTAAAAAAAAAAATTTTAAAAAAGCTGATCCTAGATCACCTGTTAACTAGGAAGAGCACTAGAACACCAATTGCATGAGAAAAGATGCGCTTAAAAGCTGTGTTCAAGACATCTACTATAAAGTTTTGAATTCTTCCTTATCTTTCAAGTATTTGGATTATAATTTGTTAAAAAAAAATAGACCAAATACAGAAAGCACATTTGGTCAGGACTTTGTCTCACTACAATTCAGTGTTTCCTATCTAAATGTGCATACCATTTAGAGGCCATTTTTGAAATGTTATCAGTCAACAGCAACATGGGCACCAGTGAATCAGAAAACACACCTTAGGATTCTGTTCTTAAATTACATAAGTTAGATAAAACTACCCTGTCCAGCAAGTTCCGAATTTTTCAAACATTAAGGCAACTTTCATTACTTTCCAGCTAAACAGTATTATAAAAAATAAATGTCACTTCAAACCTTATATACACAGTGACAGAGTAGATTTAGCCAGAAAGTATCTTTAGTATATTAATAAAGTGTCACGTAATATTACCGAGGTTATATCAGGTGCTTGAGTGTAGGTGCAATTGGAGTGGTTGCAATATTTAAAGTACTGGTTTCAAAACAGAGCGCAGTGAACGTCCTTCTTTAGTGAGTTCTCTTGTTACACACATACATGGCAGCGGAACAGCCTCCTCTCTTCTCTCTACAGCATTATAGCTGCATTTCTTCAAGTGGTCAGCCATGCTTACGATGTCAGCAAACTTCCATTCATTCACAGTACAAAAGGCTGTACTGAAGCGCCAGACCTAGAAAATAAGTTGCACTTAGGCTCAAAATGTTTTAAGATACCTAAACTCAGAGCAGGAAATTAAATGTGCTATAATACTTTCAGGCAATGTTTTACAGCTACTATAAATCATACTAAAAATCAACATGACAAAACATACAATGCTAAATTTTGCATAGCCAGTCCCAGGCTGATTCAGATTCCAAGTCAAGTCTGAACACTGGCAAGAAAGGCAAGCAATAATTTTTGCGTCTACAAAGTAGATGCAATCAGAAGTTAAATGACAAAGGATTGCATGACCAGTCACAAGGATCCATTTCTGAAATGATCAACTTCTGCAATTCCACAGTATTGCTATAGATACTCTGCAGTTCTGGGGTGAAGGGGTGGAGGGGATGGGGAATCGTGAAAACTGCACTATACAAAGGTCACCCAAAGGTTGTAGGAATTGTTTACATACTTAAGGCACTCGATATCATGGTAAATGGATAGGATCTCAACAGATGAGCAAAAATTAAAACTGCTATAAACAGTATAAAGGCAAAAAAAGCAAACTTTGTAGGCAATTTTCCCCCTTTCATGGAATATCGTTATTAAAGAAAATCATGAAGTAATCATTTACTATTTTAAAATCTTAGGAAAATCAGAGGTTAATTTATTTACATCAAGTAAAAAGTAGACAGACACTACTTTAACTTCTGCTTTTTCAAGTGTGGAGAAGACTGAACCAACCTGCTAACAATTTTCGCTAATTGCTGTTATATATGACAATCTGTTTCTTGAAGGGATATTATATCAAAAAACAGTAATAACAATACTGATGAAGGAGAATATTAAGGGAAAAAGTCAGAGACATGACCCATTTAATACCTTCCCTTTCACCTTCAAAATAAAAAACAACTTACCTTTTCTTTTATCTGCCAAGAAGAACTTCCATCTGGGTACTTTCTCTTCTCCCAAAGCAGTATCACCATTCCACGTGCTTGAAGCAAGCTTCCACATACATCTCTCATTAAACGTGACACTCTTGAAAGCTGACATAAACTAAAGCCATCTAGAAAACTAGCAATGTGCTGCAGAACCTCAAAAGGTAGACTACTCAGATGGTCATTGTGTAGTCCAATTAAGCAGCTTTTTGCTGGTTCTACCAATACTGTGGATATACAAGGCTGAACTCCAAATGACCGTAAGTGGCGGTCATGAATAATTTTTGCCCCTTGTGTTGAAGGGCAAAACCTTCGTTGAGAATATGTACACCCATAATATGCCAAAGGACACCTCTGCTCCATCCAGCCATTAAGGCCAGCATGAATGTCACCATGCACATTCTTAAAATGTGATGAAAATTCATTCCTCCTAAACAACTGTCCACAAACAAATGTAAACATTGAACGCTGTTTTGTTTGGTATCTAGCCACATATTCCAATACCAAATCCAGTCCAAGGGTCTGGAATGGACTTGGATTTGAGAGCTGTGGGTTGGCATGATCACATGCAGAAGCTGAAGCTATTTCCCCCACCATTGTATTTGTGGCCAATATAGCAGATGGGAGAGAAAATGTCTGGGTCCCAAAGTCAACGTGATACACATCGACTGTGCGACTTTCTGATATCCCCCTACCTCCGGGAGAGTCTCCTAGGCAAAACAACAGAGCTGCAGTGATTAGATCAATCCCCTGAAGACCCATAGGATCTTCTGTTATCTCCAAATCTGACGTATCAACAGCTTTGTCTTCTTTTGGTGTAGACCAATAATGGTTAACAAGGAATTTGTATGATCGATGCCGTAAAAGTGAAAACGCATCTACGTTTCTCAATCTTTCTTGCTCCACTTGTCTCTCTAACATTTCTTCTTCGTTAGCATTACGGGGAAGTAGTACATGATTAACATTGCCGTTAACTAAGTGATCAGCTGATATTACTTCTTTAAGTTGTCCTGTTACAGGGAAGGAGCTGCAAGACTGTAATGCTTCATCATCATGAGATGCAGTACATTCACCATTTGCTACACTGGATGGTTTTGAATTAGATAAACCAAGATCTTCATTCTGGTCCAACACCTTTGAACCCTCATTTTCTACATGAAAGCCATTACACAAAAGTGAGGAGTTACTGAGGTTTAGATTTAAGTCATGTTTTTGCACTACATCATAACAAATATCACTAGAACCGTTTTGCTCCATTTGCAAATTTTGACTCAGGCGATCAAAGTTAATTCCCCCAACTGCTCCTATGTTATCTTCATCTGGATATTCATGGTCAGACTTTTTATCCTGAATAATGCCATTAGAAGCTTGTTCTTTAATCTCGGTATCTTCTTTCATTTCATGCGGTGAAACGCAGAGTCTTGAACTTAACATATTAATGTCCCTTGTAGCAGTGTTCAGGATATCCAGAGCAGCAGCTAAACTCCTCGTTGTTTCTACAGTAGCTTGATAAAGTGCGCCATAGGACTCTTCATCTACAGGCATCAAACCATTTGAATGCACTGTATCTGGGGCACCTGATTTGACAGAGGTTTGCTCTCTGGATTCTGGTATTTGATCACCTACTTTTGACATCATAGTTGCTACTTTAAGTGATTCTAATAACATGCGCTGGTCTTGAAGGGCTAAAGCCATATCTAGCTGCTCCACTTCATCAACATCTTTACTCAAATTTTCGTAAGATTTTCGGTCTGCATAACTGACTGGCCATCTATTCCACTCCATGGTACAACATACCACACTTGCAGGACAAACTTCTAGATGATCAGCAATTTTATTTCGGGCTACTATGAAGGGACATCCAAAGCCACTATTCAAACAAGGCACTCTTTCAAGTGGACATAACATGCGATGTTCCTCAGCTTTACATGAGTGAAAAACTGCTCCACAAACCAATGGGCAGCCAATCAAATCACAGGAAATGCCAGGCTCTGGTCTGGTCATACAACGACGGCTGACACAGTTCACACAGTGTAAATGCTGTTGATGTTCCTCCATGACTGTGAATCCAATTCTGAGTGAAGAGAAAGAAAACAAAAGCATAGAGTATTAACTCAATATTGTTAATATTCACTATTATTTACAGTTTTGCATCCTCTATGTGTACAGAAAGATGTATGTTAACACAACGTGAACTGATCAGTAGCCATTTTAAGAGAACAAGTATGTGACATTTTATCTCAAAGAAATGGTGTTTAAAAGGTCACCTGAAAATTAAAGATACACATTTGTATCAGAATTTAAGACGTCCATGCATTTATTCACCAGGTGTAATATATGCAACTTACGTAAAAACATTGCATAATCCTTCTCACTGGAATAGCTCTTTTCCCCTGCCCATTGCAAATAGATGATGCAATGAAAAACAAAGCACAATTGTTGACTACGGCCTACTAGCTAAAATCATAAACCACACAACTCTACAGAGTAGGGAGAAGAAATAAAGGAAGCCAGATTCATCCTCATCTCCAGTTCTCTAAATTAAACACAGGCAACCTATTCCCTGGGCTGCTTGCTACTACCTAAGCTTCTGACACCCTCTTCATGCAGTTCTGTTTAAGGCAATCTGCAGCTCTCAGTGTGTACCTCAATCCCCTGACATGTCCCATTCTCACCCCTCCATGTTTCTGACAGACAGCAGTCCTTTACAACAGCTCTTCGCTCTTCTTTCCTTATGTATAGCCTATAGCTCCTCCCTTATTTTTATAGTAGCTGTTGCATAAGGATAGCAATTATACTATACATTAAATAAGTCCTTTTATTTCATTGAAAACTTTTACATAAAACTTTACTACCCAACATGGTCCAATCTATACCTCCAGTTCAGCCCACAAAAGTTAATTTTTTTAATGCATCCTGTGGCCATCCTGATTACAATACCAGCAGTTCAAAGTGTAAGGGTAACACAACTTTACAAAACAAGGCCAAACAGCTACAAAAATCCAAATAAAATTGCATAATCTATTGTAAGATGTTGACACAAAGAAAAAAAAACTGATTCTCTGTTGTGGTATGGAGAAGAAAAAAAAAAAAAAAGACTGAACTTTATAGTTCAGAGATACCAGAGAATGACTTGCACAGAGCCAAATCTCAAAATACTGTGTCAAAAATACACTGGTCGTCAGTTCCATCTTTTCCTCACTCCCCACCTTCCAGCAATTTTCTGGAAAAATAAAATGCTTACAGAATTTAAGTTTAATAAAAATGGTTTCTTATCTTATTCTACTAGCTAACAAGTGCTCTTATGCATTGACTTCAGACTAAACCCTTCAGTTTTAATGCATTAAAATTTCTTAAATTAAAAATACTCTGAACTGTAAAAATAAAACTGATTAGTATTATTTCTTTTGTTCAAACTGAAGGTAAGAGGAAACAAAACTGCCTTTTAGACACTCCACTTTAAATAATTTAAAGCATTTAAATAGAAATCTATGTGACACTTCACTCACTTGTATTCTTTTAATACTTTGAAATTCATGCCAACTCTAAGTAGCAATCAGTCCCCATCTCCCCATCCGTTGTAATCTGGATAACTCAAATATTTTAGCCACCCACTCTCCTGAACACTTCTAACAAAGAAGCATATGTGCTACACTTAGCAGGCAAAACACAGCTGAATTTTCCCCACCATACTTTAGTATTTATATACTGAGTAACAAGTAAGTTTCGAAGAAATTGTCAAGTGCATCAGTCACTGAGCTCAGTGACTGACTAACTCGCTAAACATTTTAGCAAACACAACTTGCTTTCAACTTACATATTAAGTCAGATTGTACCTACTGCAAAGAGCTGAAACACCTTTGGTAAAGAATGAAAAAGAGAAAATCATTTGACTTCTCTGAGATATTTTTAGTTCTTCCAGCAAAGTCCTCTCTAAGTAATTCCTGCCAAATACAGCAGCCTACCTGTTGCTAGACCAAAGAAAATTTCAGAGTTTTGCATCAATACTGAAAACAAACTCTAGTTTTCCTCAAGTCAACAGGTAAGCAGAGATCAAAAGGCAGCTTTTAGGTTATGTGTGTATTTTAAAAGCACTTAACACAAAATGGAAACAACCCTGGAAAAGACAAGTGCTAGTTTATAACGCAAGAGCCCTCATAAAGCCCAGCCCTTGCTTCATGTATCTAAACACAGTCCTGCTCCCATAAAACAAGCAGTCTGGTAGCAGTAAGGCTTAACGTAACCAGTTACTCACAATTATGTTTTAAAATAAAATTAAAAAAATAATATATATATATTGTTTACGTACTTTGCAAAAAGCTATGCACCCTGCTCACTTTAAGATGGTCAAAAGTGAGCCACTTCTAGAGCAGAGGGCAGGTGTGTTAGCTAGCCCACACCGCTATGCTAGCACTGTCCTACTGCTTCTAGGCCAAAGCTGGCCCACAAGCAGACAGCTCGGAATGCAGTCAAAGTGAGCTTGTGTTTGCCTGCACCATTTGTGTACACATGCCCTAAATTAGTCAACCATCATTAAATACTATCTTTAAATAGCCTACGTGAGCTTACACAGGACAACATTCTATAAAGACAGTAAAACATCCTCCTCCCTAGCACACTATCTTGGTCTTTAAAAGTCAGATTGTGAAACCCGAGTTGCATGATGATACTGGCTTTTCTCAGACTCCTTTCACACATAAGCTAATATTCATAAAACTTAATGATTTCAAACAAGCAAATGAAATTTTGAAGTGTGTAAGAAGGAGACAAAACCTGATGAAAATGTCTAGTATCACCAACAGACAGTATACAAAAGCCACAGCAGACACTAAAATACCATGTTTTACCAATAGGTAGATGCTAATTTAGTTCTATAACAGATGCTTGCTTTATAAAGAAGCAGTTATGCACGTGATCAATTAAATAGCTGATGTAACCTATTCTCTCAGTTTCCGTAAATAAGAATTTTATTGGTCACTAGGCAGTTTCATATTACCTGCCATTTCTCTTAAAATTCAAATCCTTTGGCTCCTTAACTAAATATGTAATTTCAAATCTCTTTGGACATCACTAGATCATCAACACGACATTCACCAGAATTTTGTGTCCTGCTTAAAAGCCTTAACTTCACAGCACCTGCTGCAGAACTCCAATTTAGTCAGAATGTCACATTTTATTTATAGCTTACTATAAAGTCCTTTTATATCTATTAAATGTCCTTTTCTGCATTTTTAATTTTAATACCTGGGCTTCAAACTCAACAACTGTTTTGGGCAGTGATGAATTCCTGGACTGCTCAAATTAGTTAAGGCTTATGACATAATTCAATTATCAAATTGCAAATCAAGTCCAAAGGCAAAAAAACAAATGACCCTATCAAACTGGTAAAATAAATGGATAAGACCTCAAGAATTAGCACATTGCTTTATCAACAAACTGTCACAACTCACTTCATTTTGTAAGCTAACCTTGTGAGCCACAGAACTTAGCACGTCTCTGGTTCATTGATTAAGAGCATCCACATCTGAAGTATTATCCTCTGAAGAACCGTAACTGATATATCACTAGTATTACACTGAGAACAAGAACCACGCTCTTCCCAAACATTGTCTTGTAAAGGAAAAAAACTGTTGGGTAAAGGGGAGAGAAAGAAAACTCTTGCTGCAGTGCTTTCATTTACTCTGATACAGAAAACTGAAAGGGCTAGCAAAAAGTGTCATTGCTGACATGAAGAAAAATACCTGTCATTAAAACATGTACCAATAATATTTACAGTGTTTATACCCACTGTGCTCCTTGCCACAATTTGGTGAGAAGATAGAGTGTCAGATCAATGACTATAGCAAGAACAAACAGCTGTCCTTTTCTGATAACATAGTGTCAGCAACTAGCTTCAGTTCATATGAGATGCTTAAGTACACACACTTGACTGTTACTAGCAGAGAAACCTAAAAATACATCCTGTTCCACTGAGGTGACCACTGCTCTCAGAATTTGTGCAATCACTTGATGTTATTGTACATACTATACAGTCAGCTGACCAAATCAGCCAGAACATGCTTTGAAAATCTGTCATAATTAAAAGGATTAAAATTCCAGCTGCTACAGCCACATGATTTTCAGTTGCTGTAACTCAAACATTAAAATAGCATAATAAGGGTTTCAGTCACCACACAATACTGCAGCTGCAAGTGAGAGCTCACACTTTCTTCTACACCACGAAGTATATGGAACTGTATGTACTTAGTATTATCAAACCCAAAGTCTGCTTACTTCCTCTCCCCTACGTGAATTCTTTGGTGCCAGTAAGATAGGAAATCACTGTAACTATTACTGCTATTGGACCTCCCATTACTCAGCCACCTTTTATTCACCAAACCTATAAAGCTCAACTATCTTTGAGACTCTTCCCTCTATCAAATGCGACTAAATAGGCCAACAGGTTCTTAAATTACTGGTTCAAGGAAGTAGAAGAATAGAGACACACGAGCAGTACTACAGGTTTAAACTCCCAGGAGCATCCAAATCCACCCACATGCAGCCAAATATATGCAAACCATTCTAAAAAATTCCCTTTTGTTTTCAAGACTGTAGAAGAGACTGCTATATTACTGCCATTTTACCCAGGTCTCAGGCTAAAAGAGTGGCTAACGAGTCTGGTAAGATGCAGAAACTTTCAGAGAGGAAACGGTCAAGTGAAAGAGAGATTTAAGTGACAGGTCGTTAAAAAAAGAAGGGTAAGGAAAAATAGGGGAAGAGGTAGAGAGCAGTATAAAAAAATAAATATATAAAAAAAAAAGAGCTTTAGAATATTCTGCCAAAATACCGTTGGCAGTACTACAGATAATTATTGAACAAGCCATTTTATTTTTCTGTATCTTACCATGCATGGGAGAATAACTATCATTCACCTTGACTAACAGGTCTAACTATCAAATGCTTTAAACAAGCTTTGCAGTCTTCTAGAACGTAAGCTTTTCTTGTCTTGTCATCCTCATCCTGCACAAAAAGTATAACAATTTTTCTATCTAAAACCCAATACCTACAATATTAACTTTCTGTTATGCATGTTATGCTCCCTTTTAGGTTTTGCGGGTGGTGGTGTTTGGGTTGGTTGGTTTGAGGTCTTTTTTGATTTATCAGTTTTCAAATAACTGATGAAAAACATGAACTGGAGGTTCTGCAAGATGTCTTCGACACCATTTCAACCGGAGAATGGCAAGCGCCACCAACTAGTTGCCATCCCTGCTTGAGGATGCATTAACTCTACTCCTCAAGACTCCATAAAGTCTAAGGTTAAACAGTCTCATCCTGAGGCTTCTCCAAAGCCAGTGCAGCCGTTGTCCTCGTATTAGGGAACTGCGTACCTCAAATCCTGCTTAAATGCCTCTCCACAGGACTGGGAAGTAGGAAACAGCGACATACAGCAAAGTCAATCTAATGCTACACTAATTTCCAACTACTCTTTAAAATTGCAAGTTCAAAAGATCAACAAACAACATTGCAAACTGCCAGTTATTAACGTGAAATAACATGGCTAAGAGGTGATAAATTTAAAGAGATGTGCTTCAATTGCGTAGGTAAGAGTAGTACATGTGGCTATATTTTAGTATCTTACATACTATGCAATCATTCTATTTTACACAATTTTTCTGTTTTGAAAGAGAAGTTCCTGACAGGAACTTTGTGAAGCCTTGTATTTCTTCAAATTAGTTTATATCAGACATACTTTTAGGAAGTAGAAGCCTTTCAGATGCCACACTTAAAATCTCACCTTTATGGATACAAATTACTGCCCCCCACCCCCGAGTTCATCAGGGCAACCCTGGATTCTGTTACAACTAGGCAGATCAGGGAAGTTAAAAAGATTCAAAACATTTGGACAGACGTGTTTTCACTGCATTCTCAAACATAAATTCATCCACAACAAAGATGAGAGCATCTTCCCTGCCTGGCAGTGACTGTACATATTGGACATACTAAAATAAGTCTACATTATTTTTTTGTTAATCATTGAACACATGAGAAGGAGCTTCAATTACTAAAGCCCAAACTACTATACAAGTAGTATGCTACTTCTACCTTTATCATCATAGTCTACAGCAATTTATATGTATTACACAAGAGAGGCAGAGAAAGGTCAGACTCAAAACATAGCTTCTTATTGCAAGAAAAAAACCTCAGGGGCATACAACTTCTAGAAAGATTCTAGTTTTATCAGTGATCTAGCATCAAAGGAGTAAGTACTAACTGCTTTTTGAAGCATAAATTGAAGTTTTCCATCTACCTCAAAAACAAACCAGACCAAAACAAAAAGAAACTTCTAATTACAGCAAAAATAGTCTGTATTACAATTATAAGGAAGTGCAACTTTTTTATATCAACTTTATAAAGAAAAGCTTTTCCATGCCTACTTCTGCCCTAAACATCCTATTACAGGAGCTGACCTGTATTTTGCATTCTTTTGAGTACCACTTTAGGAGTTCTTTTCTCCCTAGGGGCAAACCATTCAGAGAATTCAGTGAGATGTTTCCTCCCAAATCATTGCAGCCAAAAAAAGTAGAATTCAAGGGGGAAATGAGCCAAAGCAAAACACTGCTCTAACTGAAGTGGACCCTCCACTGATGCCCCACATGTCTGGCTGTCCCATTTTAGAAAACAAGCTCTGATGGAATGATAGAACACTTTATACTATCACTATTAAACTCTGAGTGTTAAAAACCAAACCCAAAACTACTAGGCCTTTCCTTAGAGTACTTTTGTGACAGATCTGCCATGCATTCTTGTCTCCTTGACACATTCCCCAAAGAAGAAACCCAAAGGCCTCAATGTGCATTTGGCCACACACTGACAGGACAACCACACCAGGAACAGCTACACTTGCTGCATGGCTCAGGCACAAAAGCACTCTCTACCTGTTGAGATGGTGACAGGGCAGAATCAGCTAGAGAGCCAGTAGATTTCATGTGTAAAGCACTTCTGAACTTGAACGCAGTGCAACTCCTTGATTGCTGCAGACTCTGCAAGAAATGAGATCAGAAGTAAGGTTTCATTTCAGGTGTACACCTTGACTCCCATATGTACAATCCTCTGAAAAGGTCATGTGCTTACACTATTTGGAGCTACAAATGCTGAAATATTTTGCAGATTTTAGGGGGGAAAAAAAAAAAACCAACACCCAAAAAGACTCCAAGTTTTTAACAGACTTTGCAACCGCAGTCTAAGTTCTGTCATTTTAGCTTATTGCTAGCTGTTAGTCACACTAGATGGTTACCTATTTAGATTTGAGGCTAGAAAAGATTTATATTAAAAGTTATTATTCTGACCTACTTCACTTAATTCTTTGGTTTGGTACACCAGGAACCACTTAAAAACAAAACAAAACAAAACCAAAACAAAAAAACTCCCTTGAATTAAAGATAGCAACAGCTGGAGAACAAAAAAAAATAAAATTAAAGTTTGATTCTTTTACAAACTGCATTTTAGTCTAGTTAAAATTTGTCCAGCTTCAGTATTAAAACATAAGAACTTATTTCGCAGTTGGTTAATATTAAAAAGCTGCTTACGATAACAAGCTGCCTCTTCCATATGTTCATACCCATAGATTATCACTAAAACTTAAAAGAGGTGGAACTGAGGTGAACAATATCCTTATCTTTATTGTCTCACAAATCCTTCAGAAAAACAGAAAAGAAAATAAGCCATTTCTCAGAAACCAGAAACAGACTTACTGGAAAAAATAATGCATTCTCTATTACAGTAGGTCGTTTTAGCCACCCAAAAGAAGTAAAAATTAAATCCTTCTTCTTATATAATATTTTAATTCATAAATGTTGCCGCAGAATTCCTGACCTCTATATATTTACAGAGATCAGGCCAAAAATCTTGTTAATATACTATTTCAGGTCTTACTACACAAGTTTAACCAGTTCCCATAGCAAAATAAGAAAACAACTTTAAAGTAAATGGAATGTGAACACAACTGCTCTCCAAGATCCCAGACTGAAATGCAGATGTTATGTACTCTGTACATATAAGGTTATTTTTTCTATTAAAAATACACCCTTGTTAGTAGAAGATGGCCTGAGCATTGTACAGCAAAAGTAGATAGGACACAAAAAACATTTAACAGACACACCCCCTCACTGCACCAGATAATACTAAAGTAGAAAAGATGGAGTTTTTCCTACAATATTTTGAAAAATTAAAAGTAGAACAAAAAGAATAGGAGAACAGGAACAGAGACAGTATTAACAACTTTAATCTATTCTATTTTCAGGTATTTAACTTTCTTACCAAATGAACGATGTTTTTTGCAGCACCTGTTAGGCTTTTTCCCTTTCCAGGCTGCTTGGTTTTAAAGCCAATGGATATAGTAAAAAATATCAGTTTAAAAAAAACCCAACTATTTTCTAAACAAAAACTCACCTATCTCAAATAGTTGATGACAGGAAGCTGGGAATATATCTCATAATGAGCACGTTATACCAGCTTTTTCAAAAATTTTTTAACCTGAATGAAGAACTAGAAAACACAAAGACCTGCACTACGCTTTTGTGCAGGCTTTTAGGACATACAATGAGTCATCAATTTCTGACCTCTAATATCAGTTAGACTGCCTTTTCCAAATGTCAACAGGCTTGATGCTATTACTTTTCCCCCAAGACTCCAGCTGAACATTCCCATCCAAACACATTCCATAGCCGATGACAATAGTGACTCAGCTAAAACAAGGTTTTGTAAGAGCATTACAGCTATGCCAATAAAGCATACTCCTAAAAAGATCCTATTTGCAATGAATCCGTCACTCTAACAAATTACTCTGTCCCACAGGACTGTTGGAAAACTACAGTTTCTACTTGAGATGCTTCTAAATAGACAAATAAATACAAAGCTTCAACTTCAACAAGCAAACTAAACACCACTCACCTTCTGGCACCTATGCAACCAAGTCTGAACCAGGTATCACTACTCAACCATCAACCTGAGCGACTACCTCAAGTTTTATATGAAGAGCTGCAACTATGCAAATTAGAATTTTACCTCACCATGCTGCTCATTCTCATGTCTTAAGTTTAAACCTATCAGGTTTTCATCATGATTTCACATTAGGAACTTAGATCAATGTTTGGCATTTGGTAAACAACAGCACAGTCTACTCAATTAGATGTTCTACAGACTGTAAAGGTTTGCAGGGTATTTTAGATTCAAGTAGTATTAACAGATTACAATAAAATTAAAACAAGACATCAAGTGTCACCTCAAAAACTATTAAAAGCAGTAGCTTGCAAAAGAAGTCAGGATCTAGAGCTCCCCTGCGACTTTAACTGTCTTGGCCTGTTTTAGACCAGTTTATATTACAAGATTTTTTTCAGTCTTTTTCCTTCATTCAATATTGAAACTAGATAGTGCCCAGATACTTAGGACAGCTCACACAGCATTTCTCTGCAACCCTCATTTAATAACGTAACTACTTGTTTATTTGTGGTCAGTTCAGGAATACTTACTCCTTATATGATCTAACCATCTCACCAACAAATACTTGAGTTGTCTTTATTCTTACTGGGCAGATAAGGAAACTGAAAGAGAACTGTCACCAGTACAATGATCACTAAATGATTCCCTGCTCCCATCTCTGTACCACTAGATCTCATTGCCAGAGGCAAACAGCATTTGCCTCACTTGAAACAGAGCTCACCAGAGAAATAGGTCTATCAATATAAGGGAAATTTTATTTTTTCTTTTTAGTTCAATTGGACTGAATACAACGCATAGGTGTGATACAAAGCTAAAATCCACAGCAACTACAGGAGCTCACTTGAAGACTAATAGCCATATGTTTTCTTCTTCACAAAGGTACTACAAGACACTCTTTAGGACTAGGTCAAAAACTTGGTTGTCCAAAACCATGCAGAAGTCTTGCCCCGAAAGTTTCCAACCAGATACTGCTAGTTAAACTCAGCACTTATTTTGCCCATTAGCTTTCTAATGTCAAAGTAGGAGGCAAGGGAAATATAATCCAAATTTAAGAAGTTAATTGAGTAAAAGAAGAATTCAGTGCAAAAGAAAGAACATTCAAGAAGCAAAGTAAAAACACTGCGTTTGCATAGACTTTGCCCATTCTACTGGAATTCTCCCATTCCCTAACAGCTTCTAACTTCGGAAAAGAGTGAGACAGACCCCACAAAAGTCTCAGCTTGCAATACAACCCCAATTCACCCTTTGAATCTCTTTCTTCTCTGGATGACAATGGACCACTATGGAGAAATTATGCAGAGATATTTACATGCATATAGAGTGGAAGATGCATTAAAGTGGCCAGAGAATTTTTCAGTCTTCTGGTTATTTAACTTGCTTACCAACCAAAGTTCTTTTAATAGTATTTCTGTACTTTTTGTGAGAGGGGTGGAGAGGGGAATATCATAAATCAGCGTAACTAACATCCTAATCAGCAGGGATTCGTGAACCTTAACCCTCTAGATGACAGCACAAGTTGAGGTGTATGGCACTAACACACAGCAGAAGGCAGCGGTTGTCCAGGGAAAGGACTCAACTATCAAGTACTACACACTGATTCTAGAGAAAGCAGAGGGAGATCTCTTGCGTAAAGTGCTAGCACAAGCAAGGTGATGCTGTTGCTACAGCAGCACAAGCCCGGTTTTGGATTAGAATGCTAAAACACACTTATTTTGGCACATTAACAACATAATCAGCAAAAGGGAAACAAGGATTATGAAAAGCTCCTCAGCCAAATCCAAGTAGAACTTTGCAGAACAAAAGAACGCCGTCTCTCCAGCCCACGGGTTTTCTCCCTGGAGAATTCAGAAGACCTGCTGCAAACAACAGTGGCGCTAGAACTTTTGGAAGTGAGGCCACACAACTGTTTCAATGTGCGTGCCGTTCAACAAGCTGCTGTCATCTCCCTGTACGCTTCCGATTGCCGACCGTGGGGTTACAGGAGTACAGCTACACGCCCAGTTTCACCTTCATAAAGGAAGAAAAAAAAGTTCCCAATGCACGCCAATAATAGCCATCAAAGAAGGAGCTGACAGAAGAGACAAACCACCACCACCTCTGGCATGATCTGAACACAGCTACTCGAAATACACGAACACCGCGGATTAGAGAAGGATTTCAGCAATACCTCTGGATTATTTGCTCTCTTCCCCTCTCCTTCCATGCAGAAAAGAGAGTCTCCGACTGCAGTCTCGACAGCACCAGGCAGACCCCGGCCCTACCCCTTCCCACGTGCTATCGCGACACCCCGGATAGCGCTGGCAGCACCCGGGGCTAAGACGAAGCGGCAGGGCTTGCTCTGCCACCGCCACCCGCTCCGGGCGGCCGCGGGCC